GGGGACACCCCTCTGACCCCTGGGGACACCCCTCAGCCCCCGGGGACACCCCTCTGACCCCTGGGGACACCCCTCAGCCCCCTGGGGACACCCCTCTGACCCCGGGGACACCCCTCAGGCCCTACTGCCCCCCCATCCACCACTGCCACCACACCCCACATCAGGTCCCCGCAAAAAGAAAAAGCCTTCAGTGACCACACATCTGCCTGCTTCCTGTTACCCAGAATAATTTTTTTTTTTTTCATATTTGGGGAGATGAACAAACAAACAACGACAGGAACAACCAAACCCCTTCTTCCCAAAGACCAGAGACTCAACCCATGCAGTGGATTCAGCTCACCAGTGGAGCTGGGAAAGGCTGGAAACACTGAGGTGCCATTACGGATCTGCTACAGACAAGAAGCCAAACACTCAGGTGCCTCTCTGCAATTTTGTGTCCTAATAACTGAGCTGGTCATTTTTACAATTACGCTTTTATCACTAGAAATGTCTTTATAACAGCCTATCCAATTTATTTTTCCTTTAGTCGTTCCCAACAGCAGAAAAAAGGCACTGATGGAAATGAAAGTTTAAACAAAACCATTTAAAAGGCTTGCCCAAATTCAGCCAGTCTCAAAGGGGAAGGTTCAGGTGCCTTGGTTTTGCTTAATTGGAGCCAGGTGACTCGTCCTCAAGCCACTGCCGATCCCCCGCGCCCCAGCCAGCAGCCGGGAACCATGGCGCGGGAGGATGGGCCTGTCCTCGCTGCGCCTGCACCCACCTGTACGTAAGCATCTGTTCCATGTTCGGGGATTTTCATTTTTAATCAACCTAGTACCTTCGGAAACATTCATACAGGTGGCCATAAAGCAGGAGGAGTTAATGAGGGACTATAAACTATCACGACAAGAGAAAGCAGCCTCACTGCAAAAGCGTAACCGGCCGGGAGTTTTGTTCAAGGTTCGCCAGCTTGCCTCCGTCTCTCTCACTTCAACAACATTTCTGAAGGCTTTAAGTTCAGATGCTACATAGCAGCAGGCAACAAAATGAATGACCCATCTGGGAGGGAATGTGACTGCTCTGGACCTTTCCAATTAATCCAGCACTGCTTTTATTTTTTTTCTTGCCTTTTTTTTTTTTTTTTTTTTCTTTTTGAAAGCCACATCCTGATACAAACGCTCTTTTGTGTATAGCAGAATCTATCACTTGCAAACGTTAGATATATTAACTGCTCTGGAGGAAAGCTGACAACATTAAAATCTCTATCTCTAAAATAACACATCACAGTCTGGCTGTTCCCTCCAAAGAGCAGAAGGACGAGTTCAGCCACGGGCTCCGCCGAATCTCTCGATAAGAGGAGGAAAAGGAGCCAAACGTGGCAGTGATTTTTGGGGCGTTAACTCCCCTAACCCAACACAATGAAATTAAAGATCCACCAAACTGTAACATCTCAGTAAAATATCCACGTTTATGCTGAGCTCTAGAGGAAAATCAGAGCCCCCCCAGCTGGCCTGGCATCCCCTGGCACCCACCGCTGTGACCCTGCGAGTAAGCTGCCTTGAAACCGCATTTATTTCACTCCTTCACCAAAACTAATAGCATGTGAATAAATTTTAAATTAGCACCAAAATAAGTGCTGGGATGGAGTGCTACACAAACATTGGCTTGTTTGCTTTGATATCAAAAGGAGCCGGCTGTTGCCCGAGGCTCTGCTCAGCCAGAGCGGGGCTGCTGGGTCCAGGGCGGCCGACAGAAGCCGTGCCTCCCCAGCGGCCAACACTTGCCTTTTTTATCATTTGTTTATTGCTTTGTGCTGGGAAAACGATGACTGTACTGCAGAATGCACGTTCCCAAGGCAGCACCTACCATTAAACCTCTTGCTTTCCCACAGGGCTTCGCAGGGAAACAATCATTCCTCTTAACCCCCTCTGATTTTATGGCGAGGAACTTGAATTCCTGATTCCGAAAGTGAAAGTTTCCGTGCCCAGCCCGGCCCCAAAAGCTCCATTTGTACGGGCGTGAGGATGCACTGATTTGTCCACACACGTAATTAACAGCCTGTGATTTTAGACTTCCCTGGAAGACAGCAGCTTTAGCAATTTCATTTCAGCTTCCCCTACTTTTTTCACAAAGAACTGAACTGAGGCTTTCAAAAGTTAAAGCAAACAAGAAAAGGTTTTGCCTTGGCCAGTACAGAGAGGAGTGGTGGAGATCAGCTTAATTCTAATTTGCATTGGGTCAATGAACAGCAGACAGATCATAAGGAAGTTGAAAAAAAAAAAAAAAACCAGATTGCAGCCCAGATTTCCCTCTCACATGTAAGTACACTGCCCCTGAAGAATGATTATATTCCTTTCACAGTCTGAGGCAAAAGGAAGAGGGGAATAATCTCTACAAAATATCTGTCTCTTAAAACGTAAGAGAAATGTAACAGTGCTCTTGTCAGTGATCTTAGACACTCTTGAGATGTGCCTGCTTGAATTTGCTTACAAGTCTTCTGCAGTCTTCAGTTCAGCGTACTACGAAGCTGGAAGATTTCCAGGCTTATTGCCTCAAGGCTACCAGGGATACTTAAGCTCATATGCAGAGCCAGAGAGCAGGATAATTTCCTTTGCGTGAGGATAACCTAACTTTCAATTCAGCTGGACCCATACTCAAATCCTCAGTGCCATATTTGTTTGAAGGCCTAAAAAGGAAAGCTTCCTAGACACAATTACAAGTAAACTACTTATTTTTTAATATTTTAATGGAAAGCAATGATTATTTTAAGACTACGCATAGGCAAATTATTTCCTTACCACCTTAGGTGGAATGTAGAAGCTTTTTGATAGCCTCACAACAAAGAGGTACCCAGATTTGGAATCAAAATGAGAAATAAACATTTATATTAAATTTAAGCATAGAGTTCGTTGCTCTCCCTTTACTGAATGGTGTCAGAGCTACCCAGACACTACGGAATACTCCTGCTGTCTGTACGGTGATGAAATCCAAATGTAAATGGAAAGTAGTCATTAAACGTAATATAGATATTTAGTGATACGAGAAGAAAAAGCAGTGCCATATAAAAAAGGCAAGAGGACGAATGTGCGTCTGAATAATTTAATATTAAACAAGAGTTCAGAAGATCTCACAGAAGTTACATCAGGACATGAATTCTTTCAGCATTAGCATTCCCTACCTACAGCCTGTTACTATTGTTTACTGTCATCATGTTTATTATACATTTAT